ACTATTGTATAAAGAAATTTATTACTTACTATTGTATAAAGAAATAAGTATGAAAACCATTTCTTGTTTTATTCATAAATTTATAAAAATGTTTGTGAACTATAGAATAGGAAACTTATATACCTGCCCCCTCCAAACAGTCCAAATCTTATACATAAAACTGAGGGATCTGATATACTAATGTTTACTTCAATACTATGGACCAGTGGTCAGCTGTCAGATCTTGCATCCCCATATGTTTATTATTTTGAAATGTGTCAGGCAACGTTATATACGTAATCAATAAAACATTAGTTGAATTTTTTTTTTTTCTTTAAGCATTTCACCCCAAGCATGGCAGAAGTGCCACTAGCACGCAAGGGGTTACAGAGAGCAAAAATAAGAGTAAAGAAGGGTGTTTGAGGAAAGGATAAAGAGAAGGACAAAGATCAAGATCATGGCATCAGAAGATGTCAACTGATATTACCTTTAAATATTCGAAGATTATAGTTATCAGGGAAGCAAGTAAGAAAAAGAGAGTTCCACTGTCGGGAAGTGTGAGAGAAGAAGCTGTTGGAGTAGAAGAGGTGGTTACATTTGCAGTGATAATTTCAGTTTGAATTTCAGAAATTCCAAAGTTATCATTATTTACATTTGGATTAATATCCTCATCTTTACATTATTTGGACTATTGTCCTCATCTTTGTTGCCATTGTGAGGACAACATTCCAAATAATGTAAATAATGTACATAATACCTCATCTCAGAAATATAGGCAGATCCTCATCTTTATTAATATTATCCCAATGTTTCTGTTATTGTGTTCTTCAGCTTTCTACATTCATTGATTTGTTTTTCATGGCTTATCAACCTTTTGAAGTTTATTTAAAGCCAGAAATTATTTTTATATTATAAAAATCTTTTTAAGATAATAACAACTTACTGATAGAAATCCTACTAATTAACCTCTAGCTGGGGGAAAGAGTGTTACAGAATATGAAGTCCAGGACCAGAATGATCGGCAATTGGCCGGAGTGCCTTGTGGCATGATATTCTGACTATTCTGAATACAAGTCCAAAACGGTGCAAATTCAACAAAAGGCTGCAAGAATTTTGAAGCATTGATAGGCTTCCCATATATGAATAATCAAATGAAATTATCGTTTTCATTAATACCGTTTTACACAATGGCATGGTGAACCAGAACTGACATGGAACATAACAAGTAGTGGGTTCTTAACTTCCACAAGTGTGTGTAAGTGAATGCAATAAACCCGACTGGAAATGGAACACAACTCCTTCATTTTCAATTCTAAGTCATTATCCATTACACCACCCATACTTCCAAGCTTACAGCCCCTAGTAGGATCAATTTAACAATGTATTTATATTGCCATAATAAATCAAATTTATCTAAGCATAATAAATTTATATTACCATTATAAAATTAAATTTATCTTACCTCAATAAATCAATTTTATATTGCTATAATAAATCAAATTTATCTATCAGAATAAATCAAATTTATATTACCATAATAAATTAAATTTATCTTACCATAATAAATCAAGTTTATCTTACCATAATAAATCAATTTTAACTTGCCATAATAAATCAATTTTATAGTACTATAATAAATCAAATTTATATTACCATAATTTAATAAAATCAGTATTTTTCAATCCTGATAAATGTCCTGAGTAGAGAAATGTCTCTGACGAGTGCTAATCTACAAAAAACTGTTTTAAAAAGTTTCTTCCGGTTTTTTTTTCCAAGTGGACCACTTAATTTAAGTAGTTCCATGACAATATGTTCTCATAAGAAGAGAGAGAACAAAACAAAATTTCAAGCAGAATTCAAGAACAAATTCCAAGTTTTTTGAAATAGTAAAGAAAAAGAATTTGATGGCAATAAGTAAGGAAACAAAAGAAGTAATTGAAAGCAAATGGAAATAAGCCATGGAAATCCGTAAACAGTAGAAACGATGAAAAAGAAGAGAAATATAAATGCAAAACACAGAGAAAGAAAACTGGCAATGAAGAATAAAAATTATCAACAAAAGAATAAGTAAAGACAAAAGGAAGATGAATGTAGAAAGAGTAGAAGAACTTGAGATATCTGCAAACACCAACTGTTTCTATTGAAAGACAGAAATGGGCAAAGTTAGCAAATATTAAGGAAAACTAAATAATATCAAAAACAAATTTATGCTTACAATAAAAAATCTCACTAACAGTCATTCCAGACATTATTAAAATATTCCAGAGGTAAAAACAAATGAAATAAGTATTGAGTTTCAAAATGTAAAACCCAGAAAAGCACCAAGGAAAGATGCCATAGTAACAAAGCTTTCCAAAGAAGAAGATTTCCACAAAGAATTAGCACATATATTGTGGAAAAGTGAAAGCAACAAATTAAATGAGAATTTGAAGTCTGCTCACCAATTCCAATCAATAACCTTTCTACATATCCCTATATTTAAATAGGGTGTACACACACAAACATTATATAGTGAATGTCTGAAAAACTGGATGTCAAAATTGCTACAACTGAAAGAGGAAAAGGTATAAAACTAATAAGGAGAGAGTATAAAGTGATAGGAAAAACAGCAAAAAGGAGAAATAGCCACATTTTACACTTGTACACATATATGAACACACGCACACTATGAAAAAAAATTAACCTTGCACCAATGAAAAGTGCATATATAAAAGAAAAATGACAAATATAAACATTCAATTGCTGATATCCTCTGACGAGTGGACAGAGTGATTTCTAGAGGATTTCTCTATGAAACAAAGGATTTGGGATGCTGAAGGTAACACGAATCAGCTAAGTAACAAACTTTAAATTTAATTATATATATATATATATATATATATAGATAATATTAGTGGTAAATATACACATACATATGCAATCATATATATATATATATATATATATATATATAGATAGATAGATAATATTAGTGGTAAATATACACATACATATGCAATCATATATCTAAAATATATATATATATATATATATATACACACAATTGTATATTTGGTCAGCAATCCCTCTTTATTAAAAATAACTGACAAGGTACTGTGATAAAATTTTTTATTCAATTTTTCTTGCATTCAAAAATATTTACTCTTCTGGACATAAACTGTGTAAAAACTGTTGAAATGTTCTTTAAATATGAAACATGAACCTGACTACAATGTGTTGACTGTGTTTGGAAAAAAAAGAAAAAGAAGAAGATTCCCTTCACAATGGATACACATATATAAGAATCTATACAGTCAATTAAAAATCTGGTGAGCCATGAGAAGCCATGGAATTGAGGATTGGGTTATTCATGTGGTTCAGGGCATGTACTGCATTGTCCGGAGTAAAGTTAGAGTCAATGACCAATAAAACAGAGAGTTTCATATTGGTGTTCGTATTCATCAAGGTTCAGTCTTGAGTCTACTGCTCTTCATTCTTGTGTAGGAGGCACTCTCTTGGTAGTTCTGCAACAGTGTACCATTGAAACTTCTATATGCTGCCGATGATGTGTTAATCGCTGAAAATCTGGATGGATGTGTTGCCAAGCTGAAAACCTGGAAGGCAGGCATGGAGAACAAGGGCCTCTGTGTCAATATGAGAAAAACTACAGTTATGATTTCTGGTGTTGACCGGGACAAGTTGCAGGAATCTGGCACATTTCCACACGCTCTCTGCCACAGTGAAGTGGGTATGAATTCAACACCTGGGTGCACAAGAAATGCAGTGGCATTACTGGTAGGCTAACAGAACTACCAGATTACATTTGCCTTAAATGCTGTGGCAAAGCACGCCCTACTGATGGCGGGTTCAGTACCTAAGTCACTCTGGACAGTTAAAAAATGGATATTGAGCACTGTTTCTGTTATCTTGTGGCTATGCTCTGCGCAGGGGGAGGTTGTGAGCTTGCCATTATAACCAGGTGCACTTAGGGGAAATTTAAAAAGATGCTACCCATTCTCACACCCAAACACGTATCATTGGGAACTCGTAGCAAATTGTTCTCTGTGTGTGTATGATCTGCACTACTCCACAACTGCTTCATAATTCACTGGATCTGCAGTACCAAGCCTCAGTATGAAACCCCTTTTCCTGATTTGTTAATAAGGCCCTGTATTGAGGATATAACAACAGTGCTGCACATCTGTCATCTTGGCTAGTTTGGTCATGTCCAACAAGCTTCGATATGATTCAGGACAGTCTCACAGTTCAGGGTTCCTGGTGACAAAAGTTGTGTTAGACCTAGGAAGATGTGGAACGACTGTATTGGGAGAGATGTGCAGGAGTTCGACCTTACCCACATTAGCCTGCTTGATAGGGATGCTTGGAAAAAAGAAGTGAGAGCTAGCTGACTGCTGCCTACCCCAGTCACTGGGAAACCTACAGCAGTATAATCAAAGCACCAGATCTTGACTTGACATGGATATACAGAACATTTCGACATTTTTTATATACTTTGTGTCCAGAAAAGAAAATATTTCTATGAATTGTATTAATAAATATACATAATACCCCACGCTGACAGTATGACTCAGCGTTTCATGCACTATGCAATCATCAATTGCCTAGTGCATAAAACTCCATGTTGAACTATTGTTGTGGTGTATTATGTATATTTATTAATATATACTTAATAGCTCTGTTATATTGCATTGAGCACTATTTTATTTATGCCAAAGAGGATGCATAAATACTTGAACGTACAGTTATTTATATTTATTTGATTATATATATAGTCACAGAGGATGCCCAAATCAAAGTTTCATGTCAAATATGTTTATAATATAAACATGTTTATATTCCAGGAGAGAACATGTGAAGTATGAAGAATAATCATCTCTTTTTTTTTAAGTCAGAATCGAAAGTTATTCCATATGACTTTCATTAAACAGGTACTACACTTAGATCTTAAAAAGTAAACAGAGTACCTAATATACTTCATTCTGTGGAAATAATTACCAAATCTCATGAAATATGTATTTTACCTTATATTTATCTTGGTCGTCCACTTCCCCAGGTGTGAGTTGCTTGAGCAGTAAAGTGAGACACTTTAAGGACTTATGCCGTGTGCACAGGTGCATCACTGTCTGACCCTCGTTATCTTTCACCCAACAATTGGCACCTTTTGTCATAAGTAATTTCATCAGTCGAAAATTACCCTGCAAAATAAAAAAAAAAAAAAAAAAAAAAATTTAGTCTGGTTGTATTTTTACAACTGAATAAGTATATATTTTAGCTTGGAAAAACAAAAGCAAAAAAAAAAAAAATGAACAAAAAAAAAAGTAAACAAAACACAAAAATACAGCAAAATCCCTTTTCTAGTTTCATATTCTGAACACATTTATTTCATGAAGAGATAAAAAAAAAATGTCATGAATCCCAAAACCCTTTAGAGACATAGGGGCATCATATATACTGCAGGTATAGTAGCAGTGGCGTAGCTATTACAAGTAGTGGTACATCTCAGACAAGATTAGTCTGACAGAGCTCATCCCCATTCAGGTTGTTTTGAATTCAGAGTTTTTCATTTTCTAGACTGGTTGCCATACCAAGGCAAAAGAACCCAGTTACTCCTGTTATTTAACCCATAGCTGAGGAAGAATTTGTGCAAAAGTGAATGCAACTAGTGTGAAACTGGTCTGGGTGTCAGCTTTCACAATGACAAATGGGTCCACAATATTAAATAAAAATGCAATGACAGGCAACTGTTTTAGTAATAAAAAAGAAATAAGAACTTTATAAAGTCATCTGAACACTATCAGTTACTCAAGTCCAATGTGAGAGGACATTTTCAAAGCTAAAAGACTCTGAAGACAATGCTAAGAATTCCACTGAAAAGAATTTGGAACTGTACGTTGCTATACATTGCAAAAGAATTGTTAGATGAATTGGATGCCGAAGCAATTATTGGCAGATTTGAACAATCATCTCGTGAACACAAATGATTGCTCTTAATATAATAAACTGCATGCAATGATCTATTGTGCTTTTGAACTATCTTTTAATGTGTAAATTGTGCAGTAAACTATTTAAAAATATCAACCAATTACTTAAAATCAAAAATACATAAATAAAATATTAAATTATAACATTTTGTATTTACATTTGCTATCTACTGCCAGAAATACGTTGACTGATTCATTTTTTATGAATTAACCCTTTGAAGGTTATTTAAAGTCAGAAAATTTTAAAAAAAGGTTGTAAGAATTTTTTTGAGATAAGAATTTAGTGATACAAGTTTTACTAATTAATCCATAGCTGGGGGAGAAGAGGTGAATTCATACCTAATCAGAATTTGATAAACAATAAATTGTGGATGTAAAGTGGCACATATTATTCATTATGTTGTCAGTTTCATTATTCTATGGCAGCAACCCTGAATCCATCATCAAAAGTCAGCATGTAGAATTAGTAAATACTGAACACTACAAATACCTTGGCATATGGATCAGTTAGGCTATGCTAGATGTAGTTTTGCCTAACACCACAAATTGCTACAAGACCAAAACCTGAAAACTTATGATCTTAAATTGTATACAACCACTTTCTAAGATCAATGGTGAAAAAAGGCTTTGAGCAAGTGAAGTCTTGGCAAAGATCATCCTTCTTTGAATATTGTGTACTGAGATTCACAAAGATTTGTAACAAATAAAAATGCCAAATTACCAACAGCAGTAGCAACTAAAATGGATAGCACATGTAACTGAAAGAAAAATTAACAATATAATCAAGATGTTGACATTCCACAGTACTTTAAACCAAAGGTTAGGAAGGAAACTCTCATCAATACTGGAAAGAGCAATAACAGCAACAGGACATGAAAAATCTATTTTCCTGAAAAATGGTTTTAAGATAACAATCTTATAAATTTCAACCAAAAAGATTACAAGCTGCTCGGTCAATGAATATGAAAAGTTTCCTTATAGGGAAATGGCTAATATAACCATTACCAGCTGCTTCAAAATTGTTTCAAAGGATTGGAGACCTTCCTTATCAATCAACCCTCATGATTTTAAAGAGAAATTGACTTCATTTTGATACCAGTTTTATTTTTCTATCTGGTCTAAAACTTGTTTTGTAGGATTTGAAACATTTCTTATCAATCAAGCATTATATCTCATTACTTTTATTGCTATATATTTTCTTTAAATGGATAATTGTGGGACCTTACATGAAATTTGAAATGATATTCATGTTCGACACAAGTGTCACATGTTTTTTAATTGATCTCATAGCGGTGGGGCATGCAATTGAGCCACCCATATTCAGTCACATATTGATTTGGTTCACACATTCTTCCTTGGCTCCTTGCAGAGAGAGAAACAATAAAACCATGGATGGTTTATCTCTTGAATTCCTGCCAAATTTTTCCCAACCTTTCGCATTCCACAAACACCACCCACTTTTCCTTGATTATGCACTATACAAAAAAAATGGTATCAATAATCCTGCTTCTAAAATCCATGATTCTCCAATTGCCATTCAATGATTAACATTTTATTTATATATATATATATATATATATATATACACACACACACACACATACATAAATTCCCAAGAGGATAGAATCCAGGTATTTTCTGATTTTTTTTTAATTTGTAGGTCTGATGATTTGGATCATGATTATGATTCCAATGTAACAAATTATAACCATGGAATATTGGTGTTTGAGTCTTTTATATGTTGTGTGTGTGTGTGTGTGTGTGTGTGTGTGCAGGTATGTAGAAAAATAGGAAAGAACATGTTAGGAAAATAATCCAGGGTTCTTTAGTTTTTTTGTTTTTAATTTTAAAAAACAGTGCTCCATACAGAAGTAGAGCTTAGATTATAATTATTTTTTTAAAAATATTACTTCGCTACATAAGAGTTCTCATGTTTCAAAAACAAGAGCCAAAACTATCAATATAATTTTTAAAAATTAAATTGAATTAAAGTAACAAGATGAAACCGGGCTTATTACTTTAATTCAATTATTTTTTTCATTTAATAATCTTTTTTTCTGTTTTTTTCTTGCAAGTTTTTTATATTTGGCTATAAGTTGTTGAAATAAGACCCTAGTCCATGGTGTTTCGTTGAGCGTTTTCAGTTATTGTCAACCATCATCATGGCTGTATGTTTTGATTTGAAATAGGTTGCATATTATTTTACTTTCATAGATAATATTTTAGGTATTTCGACAATATGGTTGAGTTAGTCCATTATTAATAAGGAGGAGGTCGGTATTTATTATTTGAAAGATTAGTTATTAAATATGTTCAAGATGTTTCTGCCAGTATTAAATGCTATTTTATTTATGTTGGGTTTTGTTTTTATTTTGGATGATTTGAATATGTTACTAGTGGTGCAGTGTGTTATTTTTATAAGATTTTTTTATGGCCATAAATCATTAATATGGTATGTGAGCCATACATTTTGAGAGTTGTGATTGTTTTTCTTGTGCTAGAGTTATTATGTGAAAACACTCTCAAAATGGCCATGTAAATATAAATATATATATATATATATATATATATATATATATATATAAATTTATTATTTTTTTTTTAAAAAATCTTATTGTGACACAGAAATTTTCTATGTTTCAAAACTGAAACTAAAGTTGTAAATTCAATTATAAAAATTAAATTAATTTATAAAAAATTTATTATTTTGAGTTTTTATGGTTACCTCTAATTCAATCTATTTTGATTAAAACATTGGGTTTTTTTTTCCCTAGACAACTTTTGTATCCACTTTTATATGTGAGTGAAATAAAATTTTCATATATTTTTCCAATCACCTGAAGAAGGCCGGGCGTATAACAGCCAAAACATTGTAATAAGTATGGTGACAAAGATGAGGACAATAGTCTAAATAATGTATATAAATCTTACTGTTCATTTCTTATTATATATATATATATATATATATATATATATATAAATAATAATAATGGACCCTCCCGTTGGTTTTGATATATGAGGACCTGACAACTTAATTGATTCAGTTATGAAATTTTGTGCGATAATCTTAAGTAGCACTTAAGACCCGCTAGTGATTTACAAAGAAGGTTGCATATGGAGCAAAAGTAAGGATTCTGGAATGAGATCATTTTTAGATTGGCTGACCTTTTAGATTTTGCTCTCACTTCTTGAAGATGATTCACTTAATGATCAATGTGGATATTTACAAAAGGATATAAATCCAGGAGAGATGTTAGAAACAGCAATAATTTTTCAGACTTTCAAATCCAAAAGCATTTGGATTTGATGGTCTAAAGAATTATGGTCGTAAAAACAACCCTAATGAAATAAATTATTACCTTATGAAGTTTTAGTGCTTATATATTTTTTAGAATAATATATATATATGTGATTGTTTTTAAATGTTTTTTTTTGTCTTTTTTGGGAACATTAATTAAGAAGATAATTAAAAAATTTAAGCATCCAACGGGTTCTCAATTTTCCACCTGGGATACTTTGATCAGATTTCTTGATAGAATTTGAATTAGACTAGAATGGTCAGAAATGCAAATTTCATTATGTAAATACCCATAATTAACATACTGGGATATATATATATATATATATATATATATATATATTATATATATATAATTTATATATAATTTTTTTTTCACACATTCATATATATATATATATATATATATATATATTTAATATATACATATATATATACACACACACACACATATATATATATATATTTATATATTTATACATATTTATATGTATCAAATATATATATATATATATATATATATATATTCACCTGTTCTTCAAATTATATATATATATATATTATAAGTTGGCCAATTTAATTCAAAGATACCTGTCAAAAAATGAAAATAAAAATTAATTTATTGCAGACACCTGCTCTGTGTGTTTATATTACTGTTTCTTATAAATGAGCATTTTATCTAATGTGATCAATTGTATGTGAATAAGGCCAATTTTGTCAAGCCTTTTGATCATAATGACTTGTGACTTTGATTTATAATAATTATCGATGAAAATTTAAGGTTCTGTATTCCCAATTTTAAAAAAGTTTAAAAACTCTCTATGGTTTTTATAACAATGATTAGAACATTTGTATTCTGACCATAAGACCCAGGTTTAATCTCACCATAGTAATATTTGTCAAAAAGCAGTCTTCC